TATGGACCCATCATTTTCCCTTCCTGTCTGAAATATATAAAATATATAAAACTAAGAGCGCATCTCCATAGGGATGTGTCTTTCCACTATTCTTTTGAAGGAGATCCTTCCAGGACATAATGTCTACTAAATCACTGCTTTGAGCCTTGATTATAGGGTAGTCCTCAACTTATAACCATTCGTTCATTTCACTAACTGAATTCCAGATGAGGAGGAGGAGGAAGGAAGGAGGAAGGAGGAGGAGGAAGGAAGGAGGAAGAGGAAAAAAGAGGAGGAGGAGAAAGAAGAAGAAAAAAGAAGAAGAAGAAGAAGAAGAGGAGGAGGAGGAGGAGGAGGAGGAGGAGGAGGAAGAAGAAGAAGAAGAAGAAGAAGAAGAAGAAGTAGTAGTAGTAGTAGTAGTAGTAGTAGTAGTAGTAGTAGTAACCCAGCTAGCTCTCTTGCACCCTGGGGGATCTCCCTCCGAATAAACCTGTGCTGGAATAGACGGCAATGAACCCCTTTTCCAGAATAAAAGAGTTGGAAGGGACCTTGGAGGTCTTCTAGTCCAACCCCCTGCTGAAGCAGGAGACCCTATTATCCCATTTCCAACAAATGGCTGTCCAGTCTCTTAAAAATCTCCAGTGTTGGAGCACCCACAACTTCTGGTGGCAAGCAGTTCCACTGATTGTCTGTTTCTTCATGCCACTGTTAGAAAGTCTTCCCCAAATCCTTTTCAATCCACCTCTTAATCCCCCCCCCCCGCAGGATCTGCCCTGGCTGGGACCTCAGGGCAGCTCAGCCAATGGCCACGAAGGAGGGTCTCCAAGGCGGGTGAGGGGTGGCTTTTCTGATCTGATCCCACAAGATTCCTCCCCAGGCATAACAGGAGGGTTTGGTTCGCCCCAGAGAGCAATCGGAGAGGTGGGAAAAGAGATCCAGAGGTAGATTTGTCGGGAGTCTGGTTGGGTCCTCTCTCCCTTGTCTCTGTGTGGATTATTTTTTTTTTTTCTTTTTAAATCAAAATGGCCGCCGGCTTTTCAATTCTCCATCTTGGCCCTCCGTTCCTGAAGTTTGCGCTTCAGCTCCTCGGTCATCTCTGCAAAGAGAAAGACATCGGCAACCGGCCCAGAGTAGGACAGCAGAGGCAAAAGGGCCCCAGCCAAGTAGCCACCATGGGCCTTCCACTCCTCTGGTTCCCAAAGCCAGCCCAGCCCACCTCCCTCCCTTCCTTCCTTCCTTCCTTCCCTCCTTCGTTCCTTTCTTCTCTTCCCTCCCTCTCCTTCCTTCCTTCCCTCCTTCCTTCCGTCCGTCCCTCCCTCCCTCCCTCTCCTTCCTTCCTTTCTCTCCTTTCCTTTCTTCTCCTCCCTCCCCCTTTCCTTCCTTCCTTCCTTCCTTCCTTTTCCTCCCCCTTTCCTTCCTTCTTCCCTCCCCTCCCTCTCTCCTTCCTTTCTGTCCCTTCATTCCTTTCTTCTCCTCCCTCCCCCTGCCTTCCTTCCTTTCCTCCTTCCTTCTCCTCCCTCTCCCTTCCTTCCTTTCTTTTACTCCCTCCCCCTTTCCTCCCTCCCTCCTTTCCTTCCCTCCCCCCTCCCTCCCTCTCTTCCCCAAAAGAAGGGGCAACTTGCCAACTCGCCATAGGCCTTCCACTCTGGCTTCCAAAGCCAGCCCAGTTTAAGGGAGGCGAATGTTCCCACCAGCCCGTCCTCCTTCTCCAAAGTCTTCCTCGCCTCACTTTCTTGTCTGCCTACCTCCACCTCTCTTTATCCTTCCTTCCTTCCTTCCTTCCCTCCCTCCCTCCCTGTGCTGGACCCTGACCGCTCCCGGGAAGGGAGGGAGGCAAGTGGGGATGGTGACCAGGAGACTCGCTCCGGACAACTCGCCACGGGACAACTGAACACTTCGATTTAATTATTTAAAATAAATAAAAAGTATATTTTAATTTTTTTGTCACGTGCGCATCATGCTGTCCCCGTTGCGTCCTTTCCTCAACGATTCTATTCCACGATTTCTTTGGTATTAGCGTAACTCTTGCCCCGTGGCGCGAAGTCCGGCTGAAGCATCCAGAACAGGGGTAGTCAACCTTGGCTCTTTTATACTCGTGGACTTCAACTCCCAGAATTCCTCAAGGAGGAAAGAGTCATAAAAGAGCCAAGGTTGATTAGCCCTGATCCAGAACAATGACTCCTGCTTAGCCCGCCAATCACGGGGGGGGGGGGGGGAGGGGGAAAGCAGGGGGGGGGGCACCGGAAAGCAAGTTGAGGAAGACTTTGGAGAAGGAGTGTGGGCCGGCGAGATCTTTCACCTCCTTTAAGCTGGGCTGGCTTTGGAAACCAGAGTGGAAGACTCGATCGATCGATCAGAATAGAGCTGGAAGGGACCTTGGAGGTCTTCTAGTCCAACCCCCTGCTCAAGCAGGAGTCCCTCTCCCAATTCAGACAGGGGTTGTCTTGTCTCCTAGAGAATTTTCCCGCAGTGAGTTGACCAGGATGAGGGCGCAGCTGTTGTCTCATTCCACAGTAAAAAAAAAATCCTATGTTCAGAAAGTTCTCACTTAACGACGGCTCGTTTAATGAACATTTGAAGTTACAACGGCCGTAGACCGGGTGTTTTATGGCAAGGGATCAAAATGGAGGTGCTTGGCAGGTGACTCACATTTACGGCGGTTGCAACGTCCCCGGGGGGGGGGGTGTCACGTGATCCCCTTTTGTGACCTTCTGACAAGCCAAGTCAATGGGGGGGAAGCCGGATTCGCTTAACGACCGGGTGACTGACTTATCAACTGCAGCGATTCACTTAACGACCGTGCCAAGGAAGGTCGTAAAACGGCAAACCTCACAGGGTTGTTTGTAAAGTAGGGGGAGTTTGTGTGTGTGTCACCTGGACTCTCTTGAAAAAAGTGAGGTGTAGATGGATCAAATCTACCCACAGATAAGCCAACATCTGGAGTTACCCCAAAGGGGACATGAATCTCTGATTTTTCGGTTCTGGCCCCATTTACACAAAGGGCTCAACTGTGGTCGTAATTCGAGGACTACCCGTGCTTAATGACATATTGATGGAATCCTGTAGGGATTTATACACGAGAAACTAACTTACCATTGGGGGTGCTTCTGAATAATGGAGTCTCCTGTTTGGTGGAAGGTACCCCGGGCCTGGGGGCAGATTGACCCTTGAGTAGGCTGCCTTTAAGAGATTTTTAAAAAAGCAAATAGGGTTTACAGACAGAGTAGCCTTGGCCTAACCAGATCAACTCTCCAGCAATTTTGTCTGCAATGGTATAGGGTTAGACTAGAAGACCTCCAAGGTCCCTTCCAACTCTGTTATTCTATTCTATTCTATTCTATTCTATTCTATTCTATTCTATTCTATTCTAGCTTGTGGCTTTTGTTGCTGGATGACAATAATTGTCGCCACACAAGGACGGGCGGTGGTGGGATTCAAGTACCTGAACAACCGGTTCTCTTATTGGATGCAGGCCTGGTCCTCCGAGGCCTAGACTGGACTTCCGGAAGTGGCATCCATGCACTTCCAGCAGGCCATTTTAGGCCTGGGAGGGCTCCTACAGGCCTCTGAGGCCTAGACTGGACTTCCAGAAGTGGCATCCATGCACTTCCAGCAGGCCATTTTAGGTCTGGGAGATCTCCTACAGGCCTCTGAGGCCTACACTGGTCTTCCGGAAGTGGCATCCATGCACTTCCAGCAGGCCATTGTAGGCCTGGGAGGGCTCCTACAGGCCTCTGAGGCCTAGACTGGTCTTCCGGAAGTGGCATCCATGCACTTCCAGCAGCATTTTAGGCCTGGGAGGTCTCCTACAGGCCTCTGAGGCCTAGACTGGACTTTCGGAAGTGGCATCCATGCACTTCCAGCAGGCCATTTTAGGCCTGGGAGGGCTCCTACAGGCCTCTGAGGCCTAGATTGGACTTCCGGAAGGGGCATCCATGCACTTCCAGCAGGCCATTTTAGGCCTGGGAGGGCTCCTACAGGCCTCTGAGGCCTAGACTGGTCTTCCGGAAGTGGCATCCATGCACTTCCAGCAGGCCATTTTAGGCCTGGGAGGTCTCCTACAGGCCTCTGAGGCCTAGACTGGACTTTCGGAAGTGGCATCTTCTACAGGCCTCTGAGGCCTAGACTGGACTTCCGGAAGCAGTGTGCATTCAGCCGGTTCTCCGAACTCAGCAAAATTTAGCTACCGATTCTGCTGAACTGGTGCGAACCGGCTGAATCCCACCACTGGACAGGGGTCTCAGAAACCATACCTGACTTCGGGGGCTTCCGTGGAGGCTTGGGAGGTACACGAACAGGTGGGGGAGGTCCGTCCCATCTCGCTTCCTGGTCCTCGGGGCAATCCCACGCTGCAGAGGGAAAAGTAGGGACAGCACACCTCAGTTCTCACTGCAGAATCTTCATTCTTACAAAAGAAGTACAGTTAGTTCTCGACTTACAACAGTTCACTTAGTGACCGTGGGAAGTTACAATGGCACTAAAAAAAACCCCAACGTGACTGTTTTTCACACTTTGGACCGTTGCAGCATCCCTGCGGTTAAAGTGATCCAAATTTGGATGCTTGGCACAACTGCTTCATATCTGTGACGGTTGCAGTGTCCCGGGAGCATGTGATTCTGTTTTGCAACCTTCTAAGAAACAAAGTCAACGGGGAAGGCGGATTCACCGCAGGGATTCACTTAAATCGGGAGTCCTCAACCTAAATGACCAGTCGTAAGTCGAGGACTAACCCGCAATCCCAAATCAGACCCCATTTTATGGCAGCCAGAAGTGCTTTACGGGCCCTAAAGCACCTGTTCCAGTTGCGAATGTCGCTAAATGTTCAGTCGTAAGTCAAGGACTGCTTGGAATCCAAAATCGGACCCCTGGTTTGCCCATATGGAAAGAAATCAGCCTTTGAAATACCAACAAACCATGGTTATTTATTTATATTTCATATTTCCTCACCAACCTCTCCCTCAAAGAGATGGCGTACGATACAATCCATGAAATTAACATTAAAAAATCAGAATAATTTAAGATTAAAAACCTAGAAAACCAACATACAATCTCCCAAAGGGGAAATGTTCCATGTTTCACAGTTACGACATCCATTTTGAATTTTTCTACACTCCTCGCAAACACCTGGGTTCCAAAATCACTCTGTCTCTTCTAGCCTGGCCTACCTGCCAGGACTGTTGTTCAATGGTAATATCATCACATGGTCCACCATTCTCAACTCACCTTCGTTCACGTACGTCTGCTGGGGAGGGTCTTCCTCCTCATAGACGTGCACGGGTTGTGGGGCCAATGCCTGGCGTGGGGGCGGGATGGGCACAATCGGTGGCAGAGGAAGGGGCGGGCATAGCCAAGAATTTGGGGATGCTGCACTCTTTGTTCCCACAAGGTCACCTGCACGCAAACAGAGAGACGAACAGGTGGTCCTCGACTTACAGCCATTTGTTTAGTGACGTTTGAAGTGACAACGGCATTGAAAAAGGGGCCCCTTTTCACACTTACGACCCCTGCAGCATCTCCCCTCCCCCAGGGTCACGTGATCAAAATTCGGATGCTTGGCAAAATGACGGGGGGTTCCTGGGATCCCCCTTTT